GCATCACCACTCACCCTCAGGATAGAAGCAGGAAATGGCCCCTATGAAATGTGTCTAATCTTTAAACCCAATTTCTCTAGACATAAGATTTTTAACCTGTTTACTTCCTCTATTTTACAACACACTCACCAAATGCCTACATAATCATTATATGATCTGCATTTTGTTTTTTTTATACTTTTTTATAGTGGCCTTTAGTAAGTGATCGTTAGTGGTTTTTGCTTATTCTGTTAAGGCCAAACATGTTCAATTGATCATTTAATTGCAATGTAATTTTAATGTTTTAATAAAACAATTGGTTTACATTTACATTCGCAGAATCATCATAATTTTGCATAATTTTTATGCTAAAATATCTCAATAGATCTGTCTCCAAAATATGCTGATTAGTCATGTTGAATTAAAGGTTTATGAATGTCCAATTAAGACTCCATTACACCCATAACTGTAACTAAAACAAGCAGTAGAACCAATATGGTAACTCTTGTCAACCCTGTTAGTGATGTGTCAACCCTATTACTTGTATAATATTCTAATATCATTTAAAAAATGAAAATAAAAATGTAATCAACTAATTGTATATGTTTAGTAAGAGAGGCTAATAATCCACTCAAAGTTGAATTGAGGTGTTTTATTTTTGTTTCCATACATTTTTCTTAAAACAGAAGATGCTGGGAGAGTGTCATTTTCAAACGAACGTATTCATCCACTAAAAAAAATAAAACTTTCAATATTCTCAATTCACAAAAACTCTTAATGTAACAAGGGGGGGTTTACCTTTCATGGTATATCAGATTTGTTCTATTTATGTATTTAAAACCTTTTCAAAAAGTAATTATTATGTCGGTAACAGGGTTGACCAAACACACACATTTACGTTGGTTATATGAAAAAAGTAAAAAAAAATAAGATAGCCTGAGATGGCACGGCATATTTTCCTGAGAGGTAAGGATCTACTTCATCCAAAAAGGGGCTTAAAGATTTTCAAAACAGTACTTTGAAAATCAAACATTAAAAGTGGGAAATGGCACGTTTTCGGATAATGACCCAGCTATAGGCATTCTGTTTGTGCTGCGTGATTGAAAGAAAAGTGCGCTCTTTGCTCACGCGATCAGCATGGTGATCTGGTGTTTTCTCCTAAATAAAAGGTCAAGGGTTTATTTCTTGCAAGTGAAGAAATTAGGACAAAAGTATTTTAATTTTCCTATACTATAGTGTAATGTAGGCTAAAATATACTTTGGAAATATTCATTTTCATTTAGTACATTTATAGGCTATATGGATTTTACGTCATAGGAATAATTATATAAATCATTATTACATTATTATAATAATTGTTTGGCATCCTAAAACATTGATAATGTAATGTAGACTGAGACTCTCATAACTAAAAAGATGCTTTAAAGTCCAGGTACAAATCAATGCTTTTTCTTTGTTCAATGAGCAGTTCATGGGTTGAAGCTCTTAATTTTGATCTCTCAAAGAGCACCAGATTGATGCATTTAACCTTAAAATGTACAAAATTTTCTTGCGGGGGAGCATGCCCCCGAACTCCCCTAGAGGCACAGAGGTCCACACAACATAGTTTTACAAAACCCTATGTGAAAGAATGCTTTAATCCAGCATAGTACAACAAAGTTCCTTTTAAGTCATTAAAACTGTAAATGCCATATTAAAATGTCCTTGGACATAATATACATTTGGCCTGCCTAAGAGGGGACCTACAAGACATTGTGCCCAGGGGCCTCTGAACTCTTAAGCCGGCGACGAGGGCAGGTGGTCTACGAAATTCCCCGGTAGTTTTTTTGGTCCCACTCCGCCCCTGCTTTGATCTATTAGGTTTTTCAAGAAACCACTCAGTTGTGACCGATTACACTTGTTCGACAAGGGTTTGGATTAATTCATTGAGATGTTTCTTAGGCTACGTCTACATTAATCCAGATACATTTGAAAACGCCGTTTTCGTTTAAAAACGCTCTCCGTCCACACAAGCGTTTTCAGGCGTTTTCCGACGTTTCAGTGTGGATGAGAAACTTTTAAATGCACCTTACTGCGCATGCGTGAAACCTCACTGAGATGATACAGATGGAAAAATAAATAATAAAGTTATCGGTCAATTCTTCTAACAGGATATTTTTATTTAGCAAAATATCTCACCATTTACTGATGCGTCCAGGTCGCACTCAGTCACCATATGTTTGGTCTAAAACGCAACTGCTCTCCTGTATTGCCGCAGGACAGCAAATGTGAGTACATTTTCTGTCATCTTCGCAGGCAGGGCCGGTTCTAGACATTTGGAGGCCCTAGGCAATATTCATGTTGGAGGCCCCCCACCCCCAATAAAAAACTCTTGAAACAAATATGATTCCTAACCTTTTAATTTATACAACATTTAATTTTAAATGTTTTTACTTACACAGTACATAAGTTTGGACACATTACTATTTTTAATGTTTTTGAAAGAAGTCTCTTATGCTAATCAAGCCTGGATTTATTTGATCAAAAATACAGATAAATAATAGTGAAATATTATTAAATAGTTTTGCTATTTTACTACTTTAAAATATATTTATGTGATGCAAAGCTGAATTTAGTGTAATGTGATTCTTCAGAAAACTTTATAATATTCTGATTTATTATCAAATGTTAGAAATGGTGCTTAATATTTATTTTATAACCTGTGATACTTTTTTTCAGGATTTTTTTTTTTATTATTTAAAAGTTGTTTGAAAAAAGTCTTCACTATCACTTTTTATATATTTAACACATCCTTGCTGAATATTCCTGTTTTTCTTTTTCTTTTTTGTATTTTTGATCAAATAAATGCAGGCTTGTAGAGCATAATAAAAACATTCTTTCAAAAACATTAAAAATAGTAATTGGTCCAGACTTTTTACCAGTAGCCTACTGTATGTACATATTAATCAAACTTCATCTAAGGTAATCTCTTTTTTGTTTAATGAAGATTTTATTGTTATTGTTATTTTGCTGTTTTATTCAATTTACTCACAGTTCCAGAATACCACTTCAGTGATATATGCTTTTATCATTTTTTTTCATAGCTGGTATGGGCAGGATTTTCCCCTCCCATTTAATAGATATTGACTGCAGAATGCAGATATTGTCATATTATTAATAAGTAGGCCTAATATGATATTATGCATTGCATTGCTAGCTTAAATATGCTATACACAAATGAAGTGGAAGAGAAAGACACGATCGCTACTGATTAGAAAAAAATTTCTAAACTGATATTATTGGGTAAGTAGGCTGATGCAGGGTATAATCTAATCATCAGCAGAGTTTAGAAGATAGACCCAAGATCCTTTATTTGAAACATTTAAAAATGTTGTAGTGTGTTGGCTTTTTAACTTTGAATACAAACGTCTTGTCTTTTACTTTTGTAGCGTTTTTAGTCAGCTCCCGACGCGATGTTATTCATTGTAGGCCTACGCGCAAATTCAAAGCGTCGCGTCTGGGCACGTTATTGACGCTCGCGCTCTTTTAAACTCGTAATAAAGCGGTGAATGGTTTTTCCAGAAATGACGCTGATCTACAGTACAAGTTTATATTTAGTAGAATACATTGCAATCACTCCAAAATAGATAACGACAACGCACACACCTGCATTAGAGCTGTGCTTCTTTGCGTGCCTATTTAGGCTTTTGCTTCGCAGCACCTGATGGGCTGGCGTTAATGTGACGTAATGTAACAGTCTATGGTTAAGATAAACATCGTCACTATTTTTAGTTAATTAATAAATATTGAAATAAATTGTAGATAGGACATTTGTAAAAAAAAAAAAAAAAAAATGTATCCCTCTGTCTGGGCCCCATCCCGCCAGTCGGGCCCTAGGCACGTGTTAATCCGGCTCTGGCTGTGATATATAGAGTGAGTAAAGTAACATTTTAGCAACGGTGTAAAAGTGAATAGCACATAACAGGCACAATACAACATGAATATCTATTGGTATGGATAACATGACTAAACTTACGTCATGGTTTTCAAATACCTCCGGCTTCACAGTCCACGAAAACGACGAAAACGACGAAAACGTCTCTGTGTGGACAGAAGGCCAAAACGGAGAGAAAAATATACGTTTTCAAACGAAAACGTATTAGTGTGGACATGGCCTTAGATCTAGGCTATCATGTTTTAATGGATTAGCCATTGCCCCTCCATCCTGTTATAAAAGACAGTGATTTGAAGATGGGCTGTCAGTTATAGTGAGGCAATGTTATTATAGAACCCCAAGGAACAGCATGGAAACATATTGTTATTGTAACCCTTCACTCAATTTGGTACAGACACAAAGTCTGAGAGTATGGACCAGTTCAATCAGAAGACTGCAGAGAATAAGGATGTCACAACAATAATGAGCCACTCACACAAGGTATAAGGTTGAACTGAATGTATGTAACTGAACATTGGTTTGTGATAAAACACAATTGTGAGCAAATATAAGTGGTACTAACAATAATTATAATTGTATTTTCTGTTTTTATTGTGTTTCTGGGAGATTTTCCCAATATATATAAAAAAAACAACAACAAAAAAAAAACCTTTTTTAATGCTAAACTGTAGGCCTACTCTAATCTCTGCCTGTCTGTATAGGCTAAGCTATGTGTGAAACCTCACAGTAATATAAGTTCTAGATGTCCTGTTCATTATTATTATCAATGTTCCTTCTGACAATTATGCTATATTCTCATTTTCTTATCTTAAAATACCTCTGTAACAAAGTTCAAAGGAAGAAGGACAAAGAAGTCAGGGGTGGCGAGTAAAACAAGTTTTAGCCTATATTATTCATCAAAATTAATAAATGAACAAAATAAATCCTGTCAGGCTCTCTGCCTCCACAGTCACAAAAACAGCACACAATCAATCACATCAGGGTAATCAGTCTCTCTCTCTCCCTGTCCCAGGTCTGCGGGGCGCTTATATCTCGTTTCCCCGCCAATCATTGGAATTAAAGACAGGTTAGTTATTATTCACTTGACCTCCTTATCACCGCTCATCTCCGCACTCGTTCCCCCGCTGCAGACCTTCCTTTACCACGCCCCCCTCGCCACAACCTCCACCTTCTATTTCAAGTTCAATATAAAGTTGGACTGCCTCTGAGCTGGGACAGATGGGTTCTGTAGATTAAAGCAGCAAACATTGGCAGGTTGATTGATGGAGGCTCTAATTGTGTTATTTTTTAATTTTCACTCACTGTTTTAACTCGATGGGAAGCATAAAGTCACGTACATAATTCAATACAAATAACATTTTTATATTAAAAGATATTGTGTTTTGACAAGATGTCTCCTTGACAGTATTGAAGCTAGAGTTCATATAGACAAAAAAGTATCATATTGCATTCTTTAACTGCATGTCAATGCACTGCCAAAGTGCTAGTACCAAAGTGCTAGTGCTAGCATGGTGTCTGTATTTGCTCACTATATAGCATACTGAGCATGTTGTGTTTTCATTGAGTTTGTTGTGAATGTGACAGAGAACAGTACCGGCTCTACTCCACTGTAATTGGTTAACCTACCGCCTACCACCATTAATTTAAGGAGGTTTAAGAAAATGAAATGTTATTTTAAAATATGCACATTCACTCTTAATCATATGGATAATATGTCGAAAATGGTTTCGTTTTTATTTCCTGTCTTGTTGCATTAAGTTATCACATAAATGATAGTTCATATTTTCAATTCAAAACAATTAAATTTGACCAAAAAATAAGTGGTAGGCATCACTGGATATTACTCTCAGTCATTGACCATTTGTATTGTAAAAGTATCCTAAATGTTTAGCTACCTCATGTTCTTTTACCATTAAAACGGAAGTGTGCTTGGCTTCTGTGAACAGTAAAGCCTGCTTTCTTTTATTTGATTGGCCATCTCAATAATTTTGACATTGACAAGAATTTGATCAAATCTAATTATTAGGTGAGACTTGGGGTGGTTTCAGCCCTGGTTCAAACTGTGAGTCAAGGTCTTATTTTTGTTTTTCCTTAAAACGCATTTATCTACTGCAGTATAATCGGCCTTGAACTGGTGAGGTGTACATTATATAGCGTCATAACCTGGCTTTGTTCCCCAGGCCTTTTGTAGTGCTGAAAAATTGGCTGTAAAAGGATTCATGTCTGGGTCGGACACATTGAGATTGAGTGCTGACTGTGTCAGATGTTAAGTAGACTGGGTTGCCAAAAGTACTACCTAGATAGCCTCAGGTACAGTATTGATTTTAAAACAGCCACAGTGAAGAAGCCAAGCTTTCAAACTTTCCATAAGGCCTGTTATTCAGTTGCCCTCAGGGGTTTGGATGTAATCAGGGAGACATTGACAAAAAAATAAGGAGGTATTAATGTGTATTTGTGAATATGTGTCTTTAAAGATCAGTCCATAGAGCTCCCAGTGGGACTGTCATCATATAGAGCATTCACCTAGACTCAGTAAAATGGCTTAAAGGATACTGAAAGCACAGTGAATATTCTTTTGCTGTGTATACAGCTTGCATAATTTATGAATGGGTTCTGTGTTGTCCAATAAAAAAGATGGCAATATGTTTTTTTCACCCTTTTTAGCTGTTAAACATATGGAGACATATTCAAAACAGTCAGATTTTTTTTATTCATACAGTGGTGTCCAAAAGTCTGAGACCACATTGGAAATCTGTATTTCAGCATGAAAAAATAAAAATAATATTTTGAGAATTCTTTAAAAAAAAAATTTAACCAACATAAAACAAACACATATTTTAGATTAAAGTGCACTTGATCACTAATCAAATAAGCAAATCCTTGACATGGGCCATGTGAACTCATTTAATTTCCTTGCTTCCATTGAAGCTCACAAAATGCTCTTGGGAAAATTGTTATGCTGATCATATAATTTGTGATGGGGGGAAAAGCAAAATAGCAGTATATTCACTATTGGTCTTGCACTTTTGGGCTTGATGTATGAATACAAATTGGTGTATTCAAGAGGATCATTTTCTTCCAAATAAACCCTCCGTATCCTTGCTAAGCCAATAATAATCACTGAGCTGGAATATTATAAATTATTTTAAATTGCTTATTATTTCTCTCTGTTATCAGTTTACAAATAGAACATTTAAATGTAATTATTGCCTTCATTCAAAACTCATGGATGGGAAGCCCTGGGTGAAGAGCTGCCTGAGTTGGTCCTGCTGGCTTTTCGCCTTGTCTGTATTTAGCTAATTAGATTGGCTCCTTTCCTTTAGTTTATTAACATGGAAAAATGTTGCCAATTCTTCCAGGTCCACCGCAGAGCCAGAGCACTTGACATTTGTTATTTGAGTATCATATTATGCAGATAGAACTGGGTAATTTCATGGAGGAATTTCAGAGGGTAAATTGCAAATATTATTCCATTATCATTTGCGGCAAGAGACAAGAGTTTGGTGTTCAGCAAATGCAGAGAATTCTGTCATTTTAATGCTGTTACATAAGTAGTTTCCACAGAAAATGCTCTTTTGACATTAGTCAAGGTGTCCCCATCAAAGAGGTGCAAGATTTTATTATTTTACCTGTGGGTATTGATATAATATGCCTCCCTCATGACACTATCAATTTCAAGCTCAAGCAACAAGCTGAGCGATTACATACGGTATTGTTAAAGAATTGTCTTTTATCATCCAGCCAACTGGAACATCCTTTCTTTTCATCTTCAGAGAATTTTAAAACTCTCCACAGAAACAATGTTGTGCGTTTTGCCTCTCTATATTCCTCAAATGGGGCACCAGTCAGAAAGCCTGCTGCACACAGATGATTTGACATCAAACCATGTTTGAAGTATTGGAACAAAAAAACTTCCCAAGCTTGTCAACTGTCAGCGTAACTCCAATGTGACACCAGCAGGAATCAAAAGTAGTGGTTGCAATATTATTCTCACCCAGTTAGCCTAATGAAATGACCTAATCTTTCTGTACTATATATGAAGGGTAAGATGTGTCTAGTTGGTACTGGTTATTGGTAGTTAAAAGTAATAACATTTTCCTTACAAGTAAATATACACAATCATTATTTAAAAAAAAAAAAGGTTTAAATACTGCAGAGTTTCCGCTAGAAAAAAATGGTGCCGGTCAAAGTGACCGGCAGAGGTTTCGTTTAACGGACATTTTGATGATATGCCGGTCAAATATCGCCTCTTAATTAGTCAAGTTGAGGAAAACTGGAGGCAGGCCATATAACTTAAAAAATGACATAATCAGGCCGTATAGAATGCAACATGTTATTATTAGCCTAACTTTCAAATAGACGGAAAAAAACATGAAAGTCCGATTGGCGTCAATCAACACCAATTGTTTTTTTACTATGGTTTCACACACATTCACTTTTTGAAACATTGAGGCACGGATGTACCTAATACAAATAAATAAAACATCTCCAGTTAACTAGCAGATCATTCATTTAGTTCGCTATTAAATAAGAGATCTAACGCTAAAATCAGTTGTTTTTGAAATCAAGCTGAGCGCTCGTGTCCGCTGCTATCAGTTGCATGGACGACGCGCTGCGCGAGTTGCGCAATCTTCACTCGGACGCGCGTTTCCATCTATCGCCGTTGCGGAGACTCTACACAGGCGAAGCACTGCTACTTGGGCGCAGAGATATCACGCAACACCTGAAATAAAGCTTGCCACAAAGAACCGGCGAAAGTAATGATTATGCATGAAACATTTAAATTGTTGATAAAGTTGACGATGCAGACTCGACATCTTCTTCGCAGTAGTGAACGCGCCTAGAGAGAGAAATGCACACTTCATATGAATAAATTCTTATTTATTAATCCAGGCAAATTTGTTGATGAAACATTGATTAAAATGAAGATACAATTTATACAAAACGAAATAAACTTTAAAGAAAGGCTTTCTACAAAACAAAACAAAATAAGTGGTCAAAATCATGTCTGACCAATTCCAAATGTTTTCCGATATATAGGCCTATTGGTGATCTTATTAAAAAAATAATAACATTATATTATTTATAAATATGAAACGTATATTTAAGTTTTTTAACTTATAATAAGCGTCACACCGTTCCGCTTTGCTCACATGCTCTGGTGTGTAGTCTAATGCATGTGTGCGTGCATGTGGTGGAGGGGTGCGATTTTCGAATAATAATCAACCCAGCGATCTTCGAATATTATTTTTGCTTGAAAATTTCGTTTTGTATAAATTGTATATTAATTTTAATCAATGTTTCATCAACAAATTTGCCTGGATTAATAAATAAGAAGCAATAGTGGACAATATAGGCTAATCAGGACACGGAGGCGTCGGCGCGTGCACACTTCTCTATATATAGGCGCGTTCACTACTGCGAAGATGGCGAGTCTGCATCGTCAACTTTATCAATTTATCAACTTTATCAATAATATCAATGGGCCTGGCCATATTTGAAACGTCTCACTCAATCGTTCGTTGTTTAGGTCTATATTACAGCCGTTCTAGGTGTGCGCTTTATTTGAAATGCAGCATGCGATGTTGTTTAATAACTTTTAAACGGTAGAGCCTGTTCCTTTATAACATAGCCAAAGGTCGGTGTATTTTTGCTTTATACATTTTAGGCTTATTCTCAAATTCATATTGTGTTAGGGGGGCGGGATTATTACGCAATTTTAATCGGACAATTTGACCGGAGAGATTTAATTTTGTCGGACATTTCATTTTTTTCCCGGCCAATGTCCGGTAATTACCGGACAACGGAAACCCTGAAATACTGTATGTTCAAAGTAAAAAGTATCCTGATTAATTTATAAATATTACATTTTTGGGGAATCACATGACATTTTACAACCTGGACTAACCATGCCTTGTCATAAAAAGTTCAATGTATCTGATTTTAAGAGACTTGACACACAGTCATGAGGGCCTGCAGGGGTTTTCCTGCTTTATGTTTTTTCTTGTATGACCAGACCACATGACTATGATTTGGCAGACAAAAGTTTAGTAGTTTTATAATAATAAAAGATAATGCTAAACTACATAAGAATTTCATTTCCCTTAAAAAGGTAATTTCTGAGAAGCAATATTGATATTTGAAATCCACCCAAACAAACACACCCTCCCTTCTTTGCTCTAAGGTCCCTCGAGGACCATTCGGTGTGCCTTCAACCGCACGATCAGGGTAATATCAGCACAACAAATCTAAAAAGTCCCTTGTGTGATCCTCGAGGGAGCGATCTCCCGTCTCCAGGCAGATCATCTTGCCCGCTGGCAAATCCATGTATTTGTTGGGTCTGGTATTCTGTCACATTCAGTGACAGGTACGTAACATGATCAGTAACCAAGTAAACTAAGTAGTGAATACAGACGGGCAGACAGACCGGGCAAACCAAACTAAAACACAAACAAACTGAACATAAACCTGAGAGTATGGAGCAGAAGCAACTGCGTCCATTTTCAGGCCTTCCCACTTAGCCTCTCCAAGGTCTCGCTGGAAAGCTTTTCTAATATTAACACGGGTCCTAAAGCTCTTGCCTGATCATAACCCTTCTTTTCCAGTGATATTCCTCTGACCTTTTCTCTTTTGTAATCTCTCTTTCTACAGTCTTTCTTCAAATCTCCCTCTTGTTCACTCTCTCTCCTCCCCCAACATGTAGGGCCTATACGCCCCTCTATTGCTGATTGGCTGAAGTGGCTGAAGTGTAAATTACCCTATTCTTTCTTATATATAGTTACATTCATGGTAGTGAAATACCAAAATAAGGCTAATAGATTAAATCTGATGGAGAGACATTTTTAAAGGCCGTAGACAACATCAGGCTAAATAAATTAGCTTTTTTTGCCTTTATGCATCTTTATTACTAATGCTGCTGTTGTATATTTAGCTCATTCTCAAGCTGACTTCCAGCCTATGGCTTGGACAGTATGCGTGTTTCTCCAAGAGCTAATCTTTTGCTTTTACCTGCCTGGATCACGGAAATGTTCAATGTCATACTGTAAGCACACCTTTATTAGGATATTATCTCCTCTACGAGAGCTTGGTTCCTCCTGCCCTATATAGTGGGGTGGCCGGTGTCTAAAAGCTGATTATCTGCACTTTACAGAGGTGATGTTTGGTTATTCCCATGAGACTTCATTAAAAGTACATTGGTAATTACCTCACCAGACACCATTCAGGCCACATGCATTACCTAGAGTCCACATACACACCAGCCCTGAGTGCCGTCATGAGTTTAGACTCTCTCTGCACTGAGCTCTTTGATTTATGCTGTATGACTCATGACCTGAATCCAGAAATGGCTGCTTTATTTAGCAAATCTGCAGTCATACTTTTTATCTGTGGTCCGTTTTCCTCAAAGGACAATAGGATAAGGTAGA